TTGACAGCCATTCAAACAAATACAATCCCCCGAATACATCCTGGACCTGACCAACCACTGCCTAACCAACACGTACTTCATCCACAATGGACAAAGATACAAACAGATAGAAGGAGCACCTATGGGATCACCTCTCACCGGTCATCGCAAACCTGTACATGGAACACTTTGAAACCAATGCTTTAGACAAGTCAGAACACAAACCCAAACTTTGGCTCAGATATGTTGACGACACCTTTGTAATTTGGCCACACGGGAAGGAAAAACTAGATAGCTTCCTCACACATCTCAACAGCCTACACCCCAAAATACAATTCACTATGGAAATAGAAGCCAACAACCAACTTCCCTTCCTTGACGTCCTAATCTACAAAAAACCTGATGGCTCCCTAGGACACACTATCTACCGGAAAAAAACACACACCAACCGCTACTTACATGCACAATCACACCACCACCCTGCACAAATAAACTCCGTAGCCAAGACTCTCATCTCCAGAACCAAACGCCTGGCTGACAAAGACCACTTGACAACTGAGTTACAGAATCTCTCAATGTGTTAATCGCCAATGGATACCAGCAAAACAGGGTTACGAAGCTAATCAAAAAGAAACACCCCCCAAAAACCAAGACACAGAAGAAAACAATGGCATGGCCCTCCTTCCTTATATCAAGGGCACTACAGATAAAATTAGCAAAATCCTCCCATAAACACAATATCAAAACAGCCTTTTGCACCCAACCAAAAAATAGCCAATATCCTCAGAAACCCCAAGGATAAAATCCAGTTGGAAAACCAAGGGGTCTATGAAATACCCTGCAAAGTCTGCCCAGCCACGTACATTGGACAAACAAACAGACGAATAAATGCACGTATCGCAGAACACAAGAATGCCGTCAAAAAAGAAGAAAAAACTTCCCTCTCTTTTCCAACACATGAAAGAAACAGGACACGAAATTAATTTTGCAGATTCCAAATTGCTCTCTAACATGGAACATCACCACAAGAGAATAATCATGGAAGCCATCGAGATAGAGAAACACCTCACAACATGAACAAGCGTGACGACCATCCCGCCTGCCAGACATCTGGAAATTAGCCCTCCCCACAAAAACCGACACCAGATCCAGAGGCACACAGAACGCCATCACCAATCAACCACACCAGACCCAAACCCAGATCCTCTCCACAGATAAATTACAGACACCATCCAGTAGCCAAACCATGGTGGCACCTCCGGATGCTGCACCCCCCTGCAATCCCTACACAGATCTGGCTGGCACAGGACACAAAACCACAGCTCGCCCCTATACACGAAGCCAAGCCAGAGCACAACTAATTGCAGTACAGCCATCTTCTCAGAAAAACTCTTCACAAAGTTCAAGAGGTCAAGACACGAAGGCTTTAGCACTAATCCACACCTAATGACCCACCTAAGTGGTACTCAGGATATCACTCAAGAAATCACTCAAGATATCCCTCAAGTAATTAAGGAACAAAGAAGAAAAGGCACACTAACCTGGGAACTTCCTCTCTGCCCAGAACATTGGAGGCTATACACCACACCCCCTCAACAGTATTTATAGGAACTCAAACACTGAGATCCTGCTCTGTTCCAGTAACAAGAAGCCGAAAGCACCAGCCTGAAGATGACGAGTGAGACCTCGTCGAAACGTCGCCTAGACACCCCAACTTTTACACGGGAAGACACCCGAGGACACCAAAACCTGCATATATATATATATATATATATATCAGATTAAAAGCATATATGGAGGAGGGGTCAGCAATAAGATCAATACAACTATTGGAAAAATAAAAGTTTTTAGGGACTGTTTAAAGGCAACCAGAGAGGGAACCAAGCACAGCTATTGGGAGAGGGAAATCCACAAGTTTGGAGCCACTGCTGAAAGGCCCCTGCCCCTTGCACCTGCCAGCGTGGGTTAACATGGCAGGCCAGAGAACAACACTTCTCAGTTTGATCTTCAGGCCCAGGCAAGTTCTTATGGACATGATGGCAGTGGCTGGGCTTCAAATGGCCTAGTCCCAAACCGTTCTAAGCTTTAAACAAATTACTTACCTTGTTGAACTCTCCTAGAATTAAGAAACTGATGTGTTTACAATCACGACCAAGCAACACATCTACTGGCAGCACTGCCACTTTATTAGTTTCAGAAATTACATTAAGTCTCAGAGGGTTCATTCGGGGTCCGATTTCCACATAGATGGATCTTAGCAGCAGCAGCAACGGCGGTGGTGGTCAGCAGTGCTTTCCTGACATCACATCACGGCTGCTGCTGTGGCTTACTGAGAGGAAGGGGGTAAGACAGCAGGAAAATTGGCTTGGTGCAAATGCCCTGGTGGAACCAATTGGTGGAACCAATGCATATGGCATTCCTATGAGTGATTATTCACTGCACTGATCTCTCTGCTGCCCCCCAATGCCAGGGATGGGAGATCAGTTAAGTGTCCCTCTCCACCCACCAACCACTACAGATGAGAAGATTTCTGTATCTCTGTGAAGAGAATGTACCAAAATCCACTGACCTCTCCCAAGAGTCCCTGTAATATAGAGGTTTGTTCTTCACTATGTTCTTTATTAGTCAATATTTTGCTAGTACCTGAGACATAATATCCAGCAGGTCCGCGTGATGTGTGTGAAACCACTTTCCCCACTTTTTTTTTGCTAGAGCAGTGACATTAAATGCACATTTAATGAATATACCTGATAGATATCTTTTTTGCGGTCTGTCGTCAGTGAGGCTCCAGTAGGATTGCCACCGTTAGGAATTGTGTAGAGAAATTTGGGGAGGCTGCTGTTAGGTTTTTTGGCATCTTCTGGGCTCCACCTGGAAAGAACTTCTTTCAGGGCTTTTGGAATAATGCCATGTTGGTCACTGGGAACATTGACAATGTTGCAGCCCAACGGCCTCAGCTGGTTTATAATAGAAGACAACAAGAATGAAGAGCATTTACTTAAGCAAGACATTTTGCATCACATGCAACTACTCTTGCTACAGTATTTCAATGGGGCCTATTTACCATAAATTGGGGGTTGGGAGCATGTGGCCCTCCATATGCTGTAGGACTCCAACACCCATCAGCCCCAGCCACCATGGTCAAAGACCAGAAATTTCTCAAGGGCCACAGGTTCCCCATCCCTGCCAATCAAAAAATGATCTTTACACTGCCTAATTCCCATATCCCACCAGCTGTCATGTAAGGGAAGCCTATCTTTAAGAAGCAGATTAATTAAGAATCACTGACAGTTCATTCTTGACTAGCTGATCACCTTTCCGGGTTTACATTTTCCCTCTTTTCCTCCATCTTTTCACAGCTTGATCACACATGGTATCACACTCTGTTTGCTGCATATACACTTGGTGTTGGGGAGGAGAACACCATAAAGCAGGCAGAGGCAAACTCCAGCCCTCCAGATGTTTGGGACTACAATTCCCATCATACCTAGCTAACAGAACCAGTAGTCAGGGATGATGGGAACTGTAGTCCCAAACACCTGGCGAGCCGGAGTTTGCCTATGCCTGCCATAAAGTATATAGTGAAACCGAGGGTTTAAATCACATGGAACAGAACATAAAATATAGGATGGCATCCTGTGAAGTAGTTTCACTAGAGCAAGGAGTTTAAATCTGCTCTGGGGGTTCCTTCAGCCTTCTGGCACAGATTTGTGGATGGCACAGAGAGTGAGCAGGGAGAGGAGGAAAAAGGGAAGTTCTCTTGCAGAAGCAGAAATCCTTTGTAGCACTTTGTGGTTTTGTGGAGCTTGAAAACTTGTTGACCCGTTCATGAGCAGAAGTTGGTCCAAACCTTAATCTTTAGCTTACCCTTTTGTAATCATTTGTCCATTAAAAAAAATAAAAATCAGTGTATATGGCAATATACTTCCTAAGCAAAAAAGACACAAAACATTTCGCACCCCCACATCTGCTTCCCGTCTAAAATATTACTGTGGAGTGGTGGGAATGGGAAAAGCAGCGGCAACAAGAGACCTATGTGAGCAAATGCAGCTTACTGAGATTTTGTTGCATATGGGGTGTAAACAATGAAGTAGGGGAATCACAGAAATTGTGTTTTGAGGAAGCAATTGGAGAGACATTGAGATGGTGCTACATATGTATTCTAAGAGGGCATCCCTGGAATAAGGTGTTGTGAGGGAGAATAGACAGAGATCGTCAAGAAACAGGAGATCTATTTAGAACAGTTGAAGGTGCTATGCAGTGGTGAAAAGTCTGTCTCGCTGTGTTCAGTGGGGCTTACTCCTAATAGATGTGCACAGAACCGCAGCCAAATGTGTTCATGTATCACGGGAAAGCTAATCTGCATGCTTACTGGCCTTTCTGAGCATTTTAGCATATCCTGCTATACAACTGATTTGCGGTCTGGTCGTACTCAGTTTCGGAATGAACCTTGTACCACCAATTTTTTTCTATGCCCAAGAATGCAAGCTTTTATAACTAAAAATAACAAGCTCGCCACCACAGTAGTAATGAGAACATCTATGAAACAAATGAGACAGGGGTGAGACACAGAAACAACATAAGGGTTGATTTACATGCCAGAGCAACCATATAAAAATCTCTATATAAACAAACAAAGCACACCAAGCAGTTCATGTGGAGAGGTTCCCATTTCAGGTTTTGCGAGTTTTATCGCATCCCTTCCAACAATTGCAACAACATGGAGACGCAACTGTCACACATAACCTGGCTTGCATGGTTGCGCCACACTTTAAATGTTATAGATTGGCACAGGGAACCTCAGGTCTTCTAGGCATCTCTATCTGGCCCTCAGAACATTCCCTAGGCCACAGTTTGGGCCTGTCTGGAACATGACCTTGAATTTTAATGCTTCTTGCTTGTCTGGATGGAGGTTAGACAGTGGTGTGTGACAACTGTGTGAACAAACCTGTGTCCATACTACAATGGTGAAATTTGCACATGTTACTTCATTCACTTTTGCCTCTGGCCCTGCTCACCTCTGGCACCCATTATAGATGTATACTTAACACTTTTTAAATGTATAACTTAAGAATGCGATACACAAACGTAAGAGACAGCTGAGACCCAGAACCGGACGCAGTTTCCTCTTAAGTGTAAAGTTTGGGAGCAAAGCTGGGTTTTCTATCACATAATGTGAGGAGCAGCTCATAGTCTTATCTCTCATTCCCGATCGGGTGAAACTGCCGGAACCATAAATAACTTGCCTCAACAAAAGAAAGGATAATTGCTCCAAAACGCAAGGTATTCAGAAACAGGCCTGAAATTTCAATAATGCTAATGGAGCAACCAGAGGAAAATACAAAGGTGTGGGCAGTTATAGCTGAGGTTTAAAATAAAGAGTCTGCAATTTCTCTTTCTGCACTAACTAGCCCTTCATTTATTGGGCCATAAATGAAATGCAGCTGCATTTAAGTTTTATACTGGGCCCCCCCGGAATGGATAATGAAAAAATATTGCCAACAACACACTAAGTCGAACCATAAATCATCCAGACACCACAATGATTTGCAGAATCAGGGAAGGCTGAACTGTTGTATGTAATATTGACAGGAACAAGATTTATCCCAGCGTTTCTCTGCATCTACGGCTATTATACATTACTGTATTTCATCTAAACGCATGAGGCACGTGCTTAAAACTACAGAGCCGCAAAGCCAGTTTTTGCACATGAAAGCTCGCCGTTTAGTTATCGCCACACAATCCCCTCCCATGAACAGGAATGTGTGGAGAAGCCAGATGTGATGCTAACAGCATAGGCCTGCGCACATCTACTCAGAAATACCGTATTTTTTGCTCTTATAGACGCACCCGACCATAAGATGCACCCAGTTTTAGAGGAGGCGAACAAGAAAAGAAAAAGTTCTCTCCCTCTCTGCTCAGTGCCTCTCCAGCAAAGCGGGAGGAGAAACGGAAGGGGCTGTTTCTCCTCCCGCTTCGCTGAAGGGGCGCTGTGCAGAGAGGGAAAGCTGCGCAGCGCCTCTCCAGTGAAGTGAAGCCAGGAGAGCAAGAGGGATCGATCCCTCTTGCTCTCCTGGCTTCAGCGAAAGCAACATGAAGCCTCCTGAGCGCTGCGCTCAGGAGGCTTCGGGCAGCTATCCGTGAAGCCAGGAGAGCAAGAAGGATTGGTGCGCACCGATCCCTCTTGCTCTCCTGGCTTCAGCGAAAGCTGCGCAGCCTGCATTCACTCCATAAGACGCACAGACATTTCCCCTTACTTTTTAGGAGGGGAAAAGTGCGTCTCATAGAGCGAAAAATACGGTAAGTTTTACTGCATTCAATGGGAAGTGGACACAGGCAGGAGGTCTGTGGTGAAATCCCCAGCATCTCTGACCAGGGCTGGGAAATTGCTCTGCCTGAAATCCTGGAGAACTGCTGCCAGTCAGAGTTGACTGGATGGGCCAATGGCCTGACTCAGCATAACACAGCTTCTTATATTCCTATAGACAAGTGTATACAGGATACCAGACCAAATGTGTCTCCAGTAACCATGTCAGGGTTTTTAAAAATAGTAATAGCAGCCAAAGGGGTGGATTTCACTAGGACTGCAGTGTGTGGCAAGGGGAGGTTTAACCTTTATTAACCCACTGTGAATGTGATGAAATTCTGCCGCCACCACCCCGTGGTCGCAATTATGCCTGAAAGAAAATCTCCCATTGGGATGAATGGGTGACTCCCTCCAGAGGCCAATAACAGCTGCTGGAAGGATTTTCAAAAGAAGTACAGCAGCAATGATGGGGTTAAACCTCCTGATCCTATGTGCTGTCGTCTCAATGAAAATTACCCGGAGTGGTTTAATAATAATCAATTCCTCTTCCCAGGGTCTGTTGGGAATGTAGCTCTGTGAGGAGAAAGGGACAACTCGCAGCACCCTTAACAAAACTACAAAGCTGTGGCTTTTACAATGTGGTTTCGTTGTGCTTTAATAGGTTAGTGCAGATGTGGCCCGTGCGTCTAGAGTTCAGGAAAGGGTTAAAAAAACCTCTCTAGCCCGCTGTTAAGCAGCAGTCAGTCAAACCAAGGACTCAAGCTTTACAGCTGCTAATATAATGTCTTAGTGTGTTTTAAGTGCATTATGCAAATATGACCCTAGATGGTGCTAGTGAGCTAACGCAAAATTCAATATATTTTTAAAAACGTTATCTCAAAAAGCATTTTCACAGCGTTTTTTTAAATATATGTGTAGATTCCACCCCACTTGTTTTCAGGTGAAGATCCGAACTATACCAGCACTTGCCACTGTCATAGGTTTCCAGAATGATGGAATACTCACAGCTGCCAGTGTCCCGGGATAGGTGGGCGCATCTAAAAGGACCGTGTCTCCAGGATTAATCAGCATTTCAAATACCTACATGTTTAAAATATATAACATATATTATTGCAAGACTTTCTGTGTACCATTAATATTTCTCTCTACTTCTTCAGAAAGTGCCTTATGGTAGTAAAGAGTTAGCTATTTTGTAGACCAAAGTTGATTCTAAGATGGGGAAAAAGTATTATAGGAAGTAGAGAACTGTTCGTTGGGTGAATTATGGCTAAATTTGTGGAGGGGGGGGGAACCCTCAAAAATATACATTCACCCTTTCAATAATGTCCAGGCCAGGAAAAAACCAACAACCTTGCATAACACATTACAAATGAATGCTAATTAAATGGATAGCAAAGTTATGGCACATAAAGTCCTACTCAACTGCGCTATCACAGTCCAATTTTGTGCTCCTAAGAATATAAGAATATAAGTGGCAACAAAATGGACCGAAAAGCCAGAAAGCAGCTCCTTATTTATATTGCACAAAATGCTCATTTCATGGTGTACTTTGCCTGTTTCACAGGTCGTTGGCCAAAGCAGTACATGTTCAGTAATTACATGCAACCTATTAATAAAGAACAATTAATTACATGCAACCTATTAATAAAGAACAATTAATTACATGCAACCTATTAATAAAGAACAATTAATAAAGAACAATTTTGTCAGTTTCAAAACTGCATAGATTATGATGTCAAATGCAGCAATTCTACTCTAAAAACAGCAATGTGGAATGGGAACAGCCTCCTGAGAACGGGGCTTGTGTACTTTTATCTAACTACAGATGTGCCTAGGACATTTTTGGTGCTTTTACATATAAGAAATGATGCTGGTGATGTTCTTAACTTGGGTAGCTGCAGACACCATCACTGTTCTCCTCCTCCTCCTCTGCCTGGGTGTTTGTAAGCCTGGGTGGAGTCAAGAGGAGGACAGACAGGGCTGGCCCAAGACATTTTGCTGCCTGAAGGAAAGGGTGAGAAATTGCCTCCTCCCAGTCCCATTCAAGGTTCAAAAGCTCAGGAGACCACTGAAACTCCAGCGCACCCCAAGGCAGTGGCTGCAGGACAAGTTGCACAGCACATGCACACAACACAGGGCTTGCTGCCCTGCAATATTTTCCACCTAAAGTGCCACCTTCATGGTAGGGCCAGCCCTGAGAACAGAGCAGCTTGGATCAAACAGGCAGGCTAATACTGAGCTGAAGAGGAACTATTGCCAGCAAAAGATGTGGCAGTTTGGCTGCTTTTGGTTCTTCTTCCCTTGCCTTTAGGATTTCTGAAAATGGAGCCTTGCCTAATTTTCAAAGAAGTTCAAGATGGCTTACCCCCCCCAAAAAAAACCCAATGAGAAAAATAATAAAATCTTTATTAAAATCACTGATGTTAACAAATCACAGGGACCAAATTAGAGGAGATGAAGGAGACCCATGATCTGGAGGGAGGGAGCAGGCAAAAACTGGAACAGGGTCATGGTGCTGGAGAGGGGAACTTAAACTTCCCTCAGTGCTATTTTCCAGATGCAAGTCACGCACACCAAAGGTCCTATTTGTCCTGCTTGTGAAAACATGCAGGTTGTTCTTGTCAGATGTATCTAATCTTCTTCAGCTAGAGGTCTGGAAAAGTGGCATGGCAGACTTCCCACAGTGCGATCCTAAGCATGCCTACTCAGAATTAAGTCCTGTTGGATTCACCTGGGCTTGCCCCCAGTAAGTGGAGTTAGGACTGCAACCTCAGTTGGCAAAGGAATCCTTAGAAGATAAGAATTCAGGTAAAGCTGAGTTAACCGTTTAGGAGGTAAGAACTATGCTGACACCATATTAAAAGTACATCTGTATGGATCCTAAGATATTATGTCAGTATTAGTGTGTTTTATCTGCCAGCCAGTAGTTGAATCTTTGCAATGCAAGGTAACAATGCACCGCATTGAGGAAAACAGGGAATAATTCTCATAACCTTCAACATATATTGCTTTTGTCTTACTTTACTCAACCCTTCTTGACTGCCGGTGGTGACACACAACTCCATTTGCCCCTTTTCAGGCTGATACTCAACAGTTGGAGGGTTGTGAAGATTCTTCTGCAAATCCTTCAGCCAGGATAATAGCTCTGGAATGCTAAGCAAACATTTCTCTTTCAAATCGTTGCATCAATAAGCTCCTCATAATAATGTATTACATGCCCCCTTTCAAGATTCCCATCCTTTATTGATCTAACTTTAGATCTTGGTTGAAAATATTTTTGCCTCGAGCAATTGGGAGAGGAAGAACAAGAATGGATGCAGCTGCCTGGCCAGAAATGTTAGCCACCACTGTCTTACAGCCTGGTGCTGCTTCAGGTGCAAGGGACACCCTATCCAAGGCCTACCCATACAGCTGCCACTTCCATAAAAGTTTCCCTGTTCCCTTGCTACTAGTATAAATTTTCACCAGCAACAGGGAAGAGGGTTCCTGTGGTGGTACTCTGTGCACTTGCACAAAGGAGCATGGGACACTGTGCCTCTCTGGCCAGGATTTATTTGCAACCCTCCTCTTGCTATTTCAAAAACGCTACTTGGATCCACGAAATCTGTAAAATACCCTGCAGAGGCTGAATACTGGAGAGCTCTCTTCATCAAGTCTTCCCCAATTTCAACCGTTGTTCCATCTCCAATGGTAATGCTAGCAGTTTTGAAGGGGAAAGTATTGGGGTTTGGTGCCCCTCCTGCCAGAGAAATCAGCGATGGAGGAGACCTCTGCATCAATTCAGCTAAAGTAAAAGAAAAGCAAAAAGAGAAGAATGAAACTGAAGATCCTGTATCAGCAGATGCTTCCTTTTAACTCCCTCCTCATTTTATTTATTTAGATTTCCTACATACTCTATCCCAGGCTGCCTGGGCAGGTAACAAAAGTAAAATGCAGAAAAATGGAAAAACTGTATAACCAAGAAGCTCATTCAAATATAAAAGAAACCTCTACAAACATTAGTAGAAAGACGGGGCCTTCTGCATATGAAGTGTGTGAATGAGCCATGACCTCTCCCTAGTGGTGGGTGGGGAAACAATTCAGAAAAGAGTGTGTTATGGGCTCCACTGGTGCGGAGGAAGCCAAGTCCTGTGAGCAACCAATGAAACAGCTGGGTATATGTTTATCGTGTGGAGAAGATCAGGTGAAGGCGATGGCAGCAGTCTCCAAATATATAAAGAACTGCCTTGCAGGAGATGGAACAGACTTGTCCCCTGCTGCTCTGAAGGGCAACCAATCAGTGAAAACTGTAGGGATACAGATTTGGGCTAAGGAGCAGGAGAATGTCAGAAGAGTCTGCTGATTCGGGCCCATCAAGTCCAACTTCCTGTTCTCACAGTGGCCAACCAGATGTTTTCAGGAAGTCAGCAACCAAGGCATGAGTGCAACAGCACTCTGCCCATCAACTATTCTCAGCAACTGGCTACAGTGGTACCTCGGGTTAAGAACTTAATTCGTTCTGGAGGTCCGTTCTTAACCTGAAACTGTTCTTAACCTGAGGTACCACTTTAGCTAATGGGGCCTCCTGCTGCCGCTGTGCGATTTCTGTTCTCATCCTGAAGCAAAGTTCTTAACCCGAGGTACTATTTCTGGGTTAGCAGAGTCTGTAACCTGAAGTGTCTGTAACCCAGGGAACCACCGTATACAGAGGAAGACTTCCTAAAGATAAAAGCCATACAACAGCGGGACAGAGGAAGTAATGGGCTCTTTGCTGGGGGTGCTAAGCAGTGGTTGGATGGTCATAGGAATGCTGTAGTTGCATCCTGTGTTGTAGAACCTGCACTGAGTAGTGAGTTGGACCAGGTCTCTTCCAACACTGTCAAATGATCCTTTGATAGCTCAGGCCAGGCTTTCCCAACCTGGGGCCCTCCCAGCTGTTTTGGACTACAACTCCCAGTACTGGCTGGGGCGGATGGGAGTTGGAGTTGGATACCTGCAGGGCCCCCAGGTTGGTAAAGGCTGGCTCAGAGCATTGTTTAGGGCATAAGGGTGCCTGTGTTGGCCCTTCTGTTATTGCTCTGTCAAACCACATAGGCTGATAGTTTAGTGAGCTCATTTATATGCTGCCCACATAAAGTGGCAAGGAGGTCAACTCAGCTGGACTCTTGCTTTCTACACCTATAGGGCTACCTATCACAAAATCATACGAACAACCTAAGGAAAATCAGAGGTTCTGGTTCGAGCGACAAAGTATGTACTTACTGAGGAGCCTTATCGGAGATGCTGTTCTTGCAGCACTGACTGCAGTAATGAATCGTGAGTAATTCATGCCTAAATCGTCAAGCACTGGACTTGGCCTCCAGATAAACTGGACAATGGTTAAAATACAAAGCAATAAAAAGAAACAGTTTTTTATTATGCTATTTAAAAACATCACTATAAACACTCTAAAAGAGCACTGACAAAATCTATGGCACTAGTTTTGCCAGTGGGACATTGATATGTAATGCATTATTTCTGTATAAGCTGATCTGATTAGCTTTGCTTGTTGAGGTTTGGCTGACTACGAAAGAAAAAGGGGGAAGCCATACAGGTAATAGATCTTTAGCTTAGTTCTGTTTATTCAAAATTCCTAAATATTCGCATGCCACTATGTGGCTCGTACTGATAAGAGAAAGAGTAGATGTCATAGCATAAACATACCAAAACACTCCAACTGAAGTAGATGTGTCTTAAAGGTGCTTGACGTGAGCTGGATCTTGCCCTTTGTGCTCAGCTGCATTGGAAACACATAAGAGTAAAGCAATGTTATATAAAATTAGCAAAAATCAGTTACAATACTACACAAAGGAAAGGTTGGTTTAAGAGTGGCTAATTTGTACGTTCTTAAAAAGCAAGGGTTTTGCCTTCCTTTCTCATGCTTGTTTAGAAGGTCCAAAGTTGAACCTTCATGATGCATCTATGACTCTCCCATTTCCTGCCCCCAAACATCTGAAGCCACGCTAAGACAATAGATCTCTCAAATCCCCTGAATTGCTGGTAAACAGATGGGCCTGTTTTCAATATCAAAGTTTCCTTCAGCATGAGAGATAAATAAGGTGGCATATTACTTGGTAGTATTGCACTGATTAGTATGATATTTTCTCCTATTTCTATGGTTAATTCCTAAAAATTCTAATCAGTTCTACAAACACCACTACTCGGTCAGTGTCTTAAAGATGAGCCACACAACCCCCAAATTGGTTATCAGCACACAGAAAAGTCAAACTACATTTTAATTGGCTGTGCAACAGAGTCATTGTCCAATTGCTTTTCTCTTGCGGTTAGATCAATTTTTCAACACGCGACTGATATTTTTGTCTGTTCGCTTCATCAAACACTGAGAATTGATCCGGCTGTAATTAAATGGAAGCTTTTCCACAAAGTCAGAAGTAATTGGCTTTGAATTTGCTGCATGCTCAGATCTCTTACATGAACCAGATCTCAGTTAAGTCACAATTCAGCCCCGCTTTAAAGTAAGTAAATCAGAGTTTTATCAGTGAAATGAGAAGGTAGAGGACAGGTGATAGAAACTGTATGTTCTGCTTCTTTCTATTTTATCTATCTGAAAGCAGTTGAGGGATAACTGCGACCTTCATTTCCCCCGTTACTTCTAGGCAGAAACAAAGATAAAACAGTCTTAGAGGCATGACAACTGTGCCACCTTTACAAGAACCCGCCTTTGTTTCTTTAGCTGTATATATCCACACTGCAAGCAGTGGTGGGATGTCACAGCGCATCAGAATGGAAGAAAAGATTCTGTCTCGAGAATGACCGCTCCCCGCTTAAAACGGGGGGCGCCCTTTGCGTGGACACGCACAGCCCCTAGATCTGGAGCGGCTCCATCAGCATAGGCTTGACTTTGCCTTCCCTCAGGTGTGATACCTGGAGGTCTCCGCCTACCTCAGTCAGTTGTCCAATCCCACCTGGGGGAAGCGTTGCCAAGGAGACCAGGCCAGGTAGGGGAGGGATTACCTGCCCACACAATAGAGGGAGGATCGAGAAAGAACAACAGAAAACTGTCTTTCAAAATGTTTTCAAACAGTGTTATGCCTGTCTACTCAGAAGTCTGTCCTACAAAGTTCAATGGGAGTAAGTTCCAGGTGTGCACAGAACTGCAGCCAAACTGAACCCCCCCCCCAATTTCCTGGCTCTTTCTACCTTCAACACAACCACATATTCTAGCAAAAAGATACTTAACCTAATGTTTGAAGCTTCCCTATTGTAAAAATAAACCAGGATCCATTTAGTTAAAATGTAACAATGAATCCGTGTGCATGCATGTGCTGAGAGAATCAAAAGATTCAAAAGTGCTTGGATGCTGAGCGGTCTCTTTTATTGAATTCATAGAAAATAAGTCTGTATCAGCTGAGAAAACAGAGTTATGTTCTACTATCTGCTTTACAAATTGCAAACAATTTTATGGAAGTAGTTCTTTATGCTCCATCTCCTTGCTGAACATTTTTCCTTTGTACATAAAAATTATTCTACGTATTTATGTTGAGGGGCGGGAATTAAAATCCTCATTTCATTATTCACTGCAGCAGCAAATGATCTTCCATATAGCAACGATTTCCCTGCTGCAAAGAGAGTATCCCCACCTCCACCCACAATAATCCAAGACTTGTTACCATACAGAAGGACTGTATTATCTAATTTTGCATCCTTCCTATTTAGAGTTGACAAACAGGTTTGTGTGGGAAGCTGGCATGGAAAAAAAACAACTGTGTTCACACAGAACAAGCAAGAGAGAAAGGGAATGTATTCACAAGACTGATACTGACACTTGAAAAAAACACTGTTCCAAGTACCGTATTTTCCCCTCTATAACATGCAGATTTTTTCTCCTAAAAAGGAAGGGGAAATGTCTGTGCGTGTTATAGAGCGAATGTGTGGTCCCTGGAGCCGAAAAATCAGGCAAAAATCAAATCGCGTTTCACGGAGAAGGGAAACCTGAAAAGAGGAAGTGGCAGCTTTCCTGCATTCTGCCTCAGGGTCTTACTGCCCACCCTCCTCTGTTTCGTTGCTGTGTTTGCTCAAACAGAACAAAGAGCAGGGAAAGCCCCTCCCCTCCAGGCAAGCAGAGGGGAAAGCAGAGTGTCTCCTTCTAATTCCTCTCTGTGCTCCGATGCTGCTGGGGGAGAGGGAGAGGGAGGGGGAGGGAGGGAGAGAGAGAGAGAGAGAGAGAGAGAGAGAGATATGACTGGCTTGGGTGGGGGGAAACTTTTGCCTTTCTTTCCTCCCTCCCGTTAAATCCCTCTCCTGCATTCTTAGCCAGCTGCTTCTCTGCACACCCCTCTCATGTCCCTTCTTTGTTTTTCCTTCGCTCCCCACTTAAAATGTGGTTACAAAGCATAGATCCACATGGATCCTCAGGATCTTTGCATTGGGTCACCCCAAATTCACCATCAGATCACATAGCATGTCCATGGCTACAGCCTGCACCAAAAAAACCACGCACCCACTGTTGCCTGGGGCTGCAATGGTGCAAAAACGTGGTTACAAAGCATGGATCCACAGGGATCCTCAGGATCTTTGCATTGGGTCACCCCAAATTCACCGTCAGATCACATAGCATGTCCATGGCTACAGCCTGCACCAAAAAAATCACGCACCCACTGTTGCCTGGGGCTGCAATGGTGCAAAAATGTGGTTAAAAAGCATGGATCCACAGGGATTCTCAGGATCTTTGCATTAGGTCACCCCAAATTCACCATCAGATCACATAGCATGTCCATGGCTACAGCCTGCACCAAAAAAATCACGCACCCACTGTTGCCTGGGGCTGCAATGGTGCAAAAATGTGGTTAAAAAGCATGGATCCACAGGGATTCTCAAGATTTTTGCATTGGGTCACCCCAAATTCACCATCAGATCACATGTCTGTGGCCACAGCATGAAGCACAAAAATGATACATCCACTGTTTCATTCAGAATGTTTTTTCCCTTGTTTTCCTCCTCTAAAAACGATGTGCGTGTTATGGTCAGGTGCGTGTTATAGAGCGAAAAATACGTAGTTGAGTACTGGAAATCTACTGATCAGTTTGAAGGCATGCAGCTTCTTGTTTCCTAGAGGTTTAAACCTGGTGCATGTATAGTGAGAAAGTCCCTCCAAAGTATCCCCTACTTTGGTAGTTTTAGACCACAGGTGTACCTAGGCTCCTTTGCAACCTTGGCAAGGAGCTAGTAGCGCCACTGACTGGGCTGCTGTGACGGAGCCAGAGTAGAGAGGTGCGATTTTAACTTCCTTGGTGGGGGCCAACCTATCCAACCCCTAGGTACACCCATTTTAGACTGCGATTCCTTGATCCCTGTAGTAGTAGATATGCGTGGAGAGACCAGGAATGCTTCCAGGCAGAGGCTTACTATTGCAAACGGGGGTGTTAGCAATAGCTTCTTCTTTTTAATGGTAGTGGGCTTTTCCAGAAAAGGTAAATCTGGATTAAGTAAGGGAAAAATACAGGCTGCCATTTTTATGTCAACATTATGTGGTGTCTGAAACCGATGCACCAGAATGAGGGGCACCACCCCACAATAAACACCTGTCTAGAAGGCTCTAAGAGCAGCATAACTACAGGTTACTGGCAGGTGTACGAGACTCCAGTATGCCTATGTACCCCGCATTGTGAAGAATGGTACCTGTTCGTCATACTGATGTTTGTGACTGGCTGTAGCACCCGCACCTGTGATGGGCAAGCAGAAAGACTTCAGGAAGCCTCTGTAAATATGACTGTGGGGCACACAGGGTTGCTTGGCTACAAGTTTGGATTTTGAGGGCAGAAAACATCCCAGCAGGACTCTGTTCCACCTTGCACTTTCTAGAGCTGTGGTTGCCCCCAGGGGGGCAATTTGATTTTTAAGGGGGGCAATTCGAGAACGTTTAGACCAAGTTAATGGTCTTCTAGGCTTCCTCCACGTGAATAGGAGTTTGCTTTTTCAAAAAAATAATAAGTATTATATGTCACGGGTGCAGGGCAGCAGGATTTTAGAGATGCTTAGGTGGGGCATAAGGGACGCGGGTGGCACTGTGGGTTAAACCACAGAGCCTAGGACTTGCCGATCAGATGGTCGGCGGTTCGAATCCCCGTGATGGGGTGAGCTCCCGTTGCTCAGTCCCTGCTCCTGCCAACCTAGCAGTTCGAAAGCACATCAAAGTGCAAGTAGATAAATATGTACTGCTCCAGCAGGAAGGTAAATTGCGTTTCTATGTGCTGTTCTGGTTCGCTAGAAGCGGCTTAGTCATGCTGGCCACATGACCCGGAAGCTGTATGCCGGCTCCCTTGGCCAATAAAGCGAGATAAGCGCCGCAACCCCAGAGTCGGCCACGACTGGACCTAACGGTCAGGGGTCCCTTTACCTTTACCTAGGTGGGGCATGACCATAAAAAGGTTGGGAACCACTGTTCCAGAGGCTCTCGAAAGGGCCTTTTGGTATTATCTGCTATCTGATCCATTTTAGCTGAAGAAGCATCCTCTGCTATTAAGAAGAGACCTTCTCCAGGCACCCACGACCCTTGACGTGTACCACTTTCCCTTGGCGCGCTTGCCCATTCCTTTCCCATTCTAACCATTTCCCCTCCTCCCTGTGCCGACTCTGCTGCAGGATCCCCACCCGGAAAGCATGGTCCACGTGATTAAAAAGAGCGTCTCTGAACATGCGCAGAGCGCGCGCCGTCGCATTCCCACAAGGGGTAAACAGAAGCTTGACAGGCGGCGGCGGAGAGGTTGAAACGTCAGCGCTGGCTTGCTTCCCCGCGCTAGTTTAGCAGCAGCAACAACAACAACGCCAACAGCCGCTGCTGCAAAGCGTCCGGGATCCAGCAAGTCTGGGATCTGCGTGACGCGCAAGGGGCGTCCGCTCGCCAACCTCGCTCTCCAATGTGCTGCTGCTCGGCCCGAGAGGGGGCTGCCAGCTCCGCGGATGTGCAGCCGGCAGGGAGAGCTGGAGCTCCGGCAAAGCGCAGCGGCGGAGCGCGGCCGAGTCGCCCGGCCCGGCGCCATACTAACCTTCGCCGCCAATGCTCGCCGCTGCCAACCGGGCCCTGGCGCGCCTGACGAAGGAGCCGCCGCGCCGCCGCCGCCGGGCTTTTCGGGGCCCGCCTCTCCGTCGCCAACTGCGGCCTGCAACGCCGAGAAGCCGCTTGTCTGGCCTTGTCCCTGGCTCCCCTTCTGGGCATGCACGCGCGCAAGCTCGCTTCCAGGGAGCCGACCTTGATACGGGCGCGAAGAAGCGTCAACATATCCCCAACTCAAATAATGCGGGTGGGTGGGAAGGAAGCCGCTCCTCCCTTTGACTTCATTAACCCCCCCCCCCACATTCTGTATACTTTCCAATTAAAATTTAACACCACGCTAAAAAACACACCGAACATTAACAGCAGAGTTGGATCTGGACCAGGAAAAGGAAAGTTTTCCTTTCGGCTGCTTAAAGCTCACTAGCAAGAATCAATGTACGCCGACATGCTGTTGAACATGTGCAGAGTGCTACGTTTCTCTCACTGTCGCTAAAGCAAACCCGGGCCCAAAATAAAAGGTGTATGCTACTCGTATGCTGTTGAACACGTGCAGAGTGCTGCCTTTCACTATTGTCGAACCACACCCAGTCCCCAAACAGCCTAGATAAGCGTTATTGGCTTCCCGAGAACAGATGGTGTAATTTTTTTGTCACAGTATACATTTTATAAGATGCTTGCAATGTGTTTTATTTAATTGAATTCCCTTACACGTTTAAAAAAATACCTGTACAGTACGCTTTAAAACAGATATCCAGTTAGCTGATCACTCTAAAACCCAAAGGGGAAGCTATTAAATGTTTCAACGTTTAGAATGAGTGGAGCATGAAAGGTTAAAAAGGTGGACATTCCTACTATATGTATTTATGTGTGTTCACTTGAATTAAGCATTTTTATCACCTCAGTTTTTGTTCCAAAGTGATGGGGGGGGGGGAGAAAAAAAGAAAATTGCCAATTTTCAAAGGGATTATGTGCCAAGACTTTACCCAAGGCAGTTTTTAGGATTTAATTTCAGTGCTGTGCCAGCAGGCTCTCAGTCAAGTCCTGTGATACGAAAACGGTTTTCGTTTCTGTTCTTTTAAAGGCATATAGTATGTGACCTAATTCTGCAGGAGATTTCAGGTTGCCTTCCTATGCTCTGTTTTTGCACTCTTGCTTAACCTTAAAATAAGTAATGCAATGTTGCATCGTGTCTGATGCTCCATTTGTGGTCTAATTATTTGTTCCCTTTGACCGCTAGATGTCGCCTATGCACCTTAGTTTGGAAGTTGTGTGTGTGTGTGTGTGTGTGTGTGTGTGTGTGTGTGTAAAAAGACAAGTTCCAAGCAGAATTGTGTCAGCTTATTCCATTTGATAGTAATTGCTTCACTGCAGGCAGTTTGTGAAATGGGAAGGAATGAGTCCCGCCTGAGCTATTACCAGGCTGAATTTCATTGGAAGGGTTAACTCCAGTCAGGAGCCATTAGCAGTTAGCGAAATAACTAAATACAGAGTATATAGAATGTGATATTGTTAGATTGCCTTCACAAATGTGTGCATATGTAAGGCTTGCTTTGACATCAGCAAGGAAGTGATAGATGGTAAGAGAACAAGTGTTATAGCATTATAAAGTCAAGAGAGTCCTGGAGTCATGTGACTGCTGGTGCTACTAAGCATTTATTCCGTATCGGAGCCGTGTGCTAGGCAACGCTCAGCACCCAGCTGGTGTTCTTTAATAGGAGAAACATGTGTATGGTCATCTTTAGCTGTTCATTGGGTTCTCTTTTAGCGGTTCTGCTGTGCAGCACAGCATATGAGAGCCACCTGCGAAAAGCTGTTTTCGCCTTTCGAGGTGTGTGCAAGAGCACAGCGAGTGGTCCTGTGACTTGAAGGTCTAATGACGCTATTTTTTTTAATTTTAAAATTTAGACGTGTTGTGTTAAATTTCCATAGACTTTGTACATCGTGGCCCATTTGCAATAATGAAAATATTTTTCCATGCTGAAATTCAGTAATCTGTGTCCTATTTCTTCAAGGAAACAATAAAGGGCTGCTATTTTATCTCGGTTCTGAGTGCGTACTAAACTTCCTTTAACCATTTTATCCATGATGAGGAAGGTTAATTAAATAAATAATCCCAGTACATTTTAATATTTTCATACACCTGACACATAATATTTTTTTGCAGCCCTGAAAGATAGTATGTTAACTTACAATCTTTTTTTAAAAAAAGCAATGATTTTCTTGATATTTCCAGGAAGAGGAAAAAATATCTCTGGCATTTCCATTAACTACCTCCAGTTATTTTCTTGATAGATGTCTGCTACTTGTTTTCAGAATGCATAAATGCTTAGCCTTCATACATGCCTCATAGAAATGCTTGCTCGATTTCCGAGCTAGATTATTATTATTATTTAAAAAATAAAATCCTATGAACTATGATACCATCTGAGTGATTATTATATAAATGCTCGATTTTAAATATAAGTGCTCGATTTTAAATGTTTAAGTCAGCTCATTTGGAAGTACAGACCAACACTCAATACAAAATCAAAATAAAGTAGGGTTGCCACTCTTTTTGGGTCCGTGGGCTCATATGCAAACCAGCAGAACTGTTGCTGGGCACCACATGATGCTGCAACTTTCCACTCTCCCTGAAATACGACTAGGACCTGGGAGACTAGCGTTCAAAACCATACTCAGCCTTGAACCTCACTGGAAGACCTTGGGCTAGTCACTGCCTCTCGGCCTAAACCCATGTTGCAGTGGGGTTTCAGTGAGGAGGAGAACCATGTACGCTACCCTCAGCTCCTTGGAGAGAAAGGTAGGATATAAATGCAGTGAATCATAAATTCATTCATTCAGTTTATATACCACCCTTCATCTGAAGATCTTAGGGCAGTTCACATGATAAAAATACAGGATAAAAGAAGAAAATAAAGAGAACAAAAACCAATCAAATCAAAACAACCCCCCCCCAAAAGAAAAACACCCCACACATTTAAAATGCTGTATCAATCAGCCAAAGGCTTGTTAGAGAGGATGTATAATGACGAACCTCCCTGGGAGAGCGTTCAACAAATGGGAAGCCACTGTAGAAAACACCTGTTCTCAGGCTGCCACCCTCTGGACCTCTCATGGAGGAGGCCTATGAAGCAGAGCCTCAGATGAGGATTGCGGGGTCTGGGTCAGTTCATGTGAGGAGAGATGGTCCCACCCTATGATTAGGCTTGAGAACAAGCCTCTTCTTGACTAAAGATGACATCTTCCAAGCCTAATTTCAACAGGGGGTTGCAACTCTGGGCTCTTGGAAAGAGCCTCTGCTAAAACGCAGCTTGCTTTATCATTAAGTATAACACTTAAAATAACTTTATCAGCTTTGATTAAGCCCACTGGATACTGTTACCTAAACCTAATAGGAAAGTTGCTTAAGTCGGTTGAGCATGAGATGCTTAATCTCAGGGTCGTGCGTTTGAGTCCTACATTGGGCAAAAGATTCCTGCATTGCAGGGGGTTGGACTAGATCAGTGTTCCCCAACCTTGGGCCTCCAGCTGTTTTTGGACTACAACTCCCATCATCCCTCGCTAGCAAGACCAGTGGTCAAGGATGATGGGAATTGTAGTCCAAAAACAGCTGGAGGCCCAAGGTTGGGGAACACTGGACTAGATGACTCTCATGGTCTTTTTTCAACTCTGTGATTATATTCTATTCTACTAGCCATGATGGCTATGTTTTACCACCACTATTAGAGGTGATAGGCACCTGAAATACCAATTTCTGGGCATCCCAGATAGGCAGAGTGCTCTTGCGTTCAGGTTCTGCTTGTGAGTTTCAAATGAGAAACTGGTTGGCCTGATCCCGCGAGTTTCTTATGTTCCAATTAAATGTGCATGGGATCATTTTTGCAACCATGGTAACTAAAATTTAGCACAAATTGGAAGGGTTTTAAAGTGATTTTTGAAGGCCAACTGAACTTATCACCCATTGAATTTGTCAGAGAAACAAATTTAGTAATTTTCGGGTAATGTGACGCACTAGTTTTTCATATAAATGATTCCACCCACCCAGGAGGAGCCATCAGTTGTACGATACCTCATATGCAATATAAAGAGCTACAGTCAGGAACATTTCACCACATATTGAGCTATTTGTCTAGAGAGCATTTACACTAAAGTATGTCCTTTTTCATAGTCTCCTTTGAGCACTTAACATTGTCATTGCTCATACTGTAGTTTCTCAGTTTCATTGAGATATATATATATATATATATATATATATATATATATATATGTTGCATTTGTTGTTTTGTTTTAAGCGGTATACAAATATATTAAATAATAATAAATATAATAAACCACTCAAAAACTTACAGCAAGCTGAAAAGGCAGCAGCATTTGGTAATGATTGTGTTGTGTCTACCTGCCCTCAATTCTTCCGTTTGCTTCTCTCTAATTTGTGTTTTAACTGATCAGTTTGTCATGGCAAAGGCTTTGGGAGGTGATTCCTGGAGAATGGTTAGTGGATAGAACAGAAGTTATATTTTTTGGAGTGAAAAGCAAAACACTGTTCTAGCTTGTAGAGCACATGGGTCACAATCCAGACACTAACTTTTGACATGCTCAAGGGCTTCTGTGCATCCAGTGGGACTTCCCCCGTTATGCAACGTGACAGGCAGTGTTGTATAGTGGTTATAGTCCTGGACTAGGACTTCAGTTCCTGGGATTCAAATCCCCCTTTGGCCATGAAGCTGACTTGGAGACTTTGCACCATCATCTTGCAAACTTTCAGGAAATGCCAGGGTAATCAATTGTCTCTCTTAGTTTTGAGATTGCAAATAGAATTGCTGCAGCTTGTCCTCTTTTCATTTTACCTCCAGTCTTCGTGGTGCGGCTGAAACCTTCACAGCATTACTACAGAGATGATGAGCATTCCCTTGCGTGACTGGTTCAGTCATATTTGACATTTTATATCAAATGTAGGCCCCTTCATGGATCACTGCCTTGCCGTGGCGAAGGGGCTTGAAGAACTCAGAGAAACTATGAACTATGCCGAGCAGGGCACCCAAGATGAACAGGTCATAGTGGAGAGTTTTGACCAAACGTGATCCACCTGGAGGAGGAACCGGCAAGCCACTCCAGTATCCCTGCCAAGAAAACTCCATGGACAAAGACAACAGGCATATAAAAGTTATGACGCTGGAAGATGAGCCCCTCAGGTCGGAAGGTGTCCAACATGCTGCTGGGGAAGAGCGGAGGACAAGTACAAGTAGATCCA